CTGAAACTATAATATAAACAAAAAGACAAACAAACAAAGAAGTGATCCATAAGCTTTTAACAGCTCATGGAAGCCAAGATTATGAATGGATTTTAGTTATTCAGTGTAAGTATCCAGAAATTTTGGCTGAGAATACAGTTTAACTTACACTAAGCAGATCGTAACTTTTCTATTATGTAACCAGTGGAAAGATGAATGTGAGACAAAATGATATAAAACAATGATTTTGCACATATGTTTACATCTAACCCACTGGGCGATTTCCATTTATCAGGCACTAAACTTGACACTTTAGTGCTGCAGTTGTAAGCCAGCAGATTTAGCCCCATGCCATGCAGTCTCTTGTCGGACAGTCTCTAGTGGGAAGAAATATGTGCCTGAGGGACTGTAGCCAAGGATCAGGTCATGCTGCTGTACTGTGAGAAAGACAGGCTTTCTTCATGTAAACCAGATGTCTCTGCTTTCCATCTCCACTCAGATTGTTGAGATTCTGAGTGAGTACACCACTAATAAAACACAATGATATTCAACCTATGGAGCTAGCAAACCGCTTAATAACATAGATCAAAAATACCGTTCTGACACGTCCCTTTAAACAAGAAAAGATTGTGTTTTTTAATGTCAGGATCACACTGACAGACCAATGAGTTCCCAGTCATCCTGATCATTTGAATCATGTCATCATTAGAAAGCAGTGTCAACCAGTGTTATATATTTTTTATAAGCCCTCTGCTTGCCTGTGTGATCTTCTCTTATCCAAAATCAATAGCGGTTGGCATTTAAGTAATTAAAAACACTAGTAAAAGCAAAGTTGGGGAATTTAGTGGGTGGAGATACAGCAGTATTTTGTGGAAAGGCGAAAACACTGTCAGCCTGTTTTTACTAATATTTCTGCAGAAGACTTCGACTCTTTCCGAACGAACCACTTGTCTGACAAACTCACAAAATGTGACTTTGATTTGTGACCTTGAATAAAGTTTGCATACAGTAAGGCACTTGCTGTCGGTGTAAGCTAACACCAGTCACGTGGGTCTCTAGAAATGATCTCAGACTTCAGATTTCAGCTCAAGGGACTGAAGTTCTTCCTAGTTTTGTGCTGGAATTGCACAGCTGCACTTTCTATAAATGTGTAAATACTTCCTCACACTCTCAGTTAAATTAATATTACTTAAAGTAACTCTGCTATTTGCCTGCACGTCTAAGCTTGTTATTGCAACACAAGGAACATTCAACAATGCTCAGTAGAAAAAAGAGAAAAAGTGCATGCTAACTCATGCACACACTCCAAAAAGTCATAAATCACATTAAAATCTTCGCTGACAAAGGGTGTGTCTCCAGCTTAGATCAGCTTCATTCAGATTCCCTGAAAACTGAATTTCTGAAGGCTCTGAGGCTCTGATTTGCAAGAGAGACCAGATATCTGGCATTTATTGGAAGCCTATTAGAATGTCACATCTGTAATGCATTTCCATTATACAATACAAACAGTTACCATGAGTTCTTAAGTAAGAACAGGGGTGGGGTTTTTTTATATATAGGATGCTAAATAAAATATAATAGCAAAATACTAATACTAAAGAAACGTCTGTCCTTTTATGTGCTTCGACCCGATTTCCCTCACTGTGTCAGATTCGCCAAATGTGTCAAAGTTCAACGAGCTGGTTAAGACAAAGACTTGTGCTGACATCACTTTGACAAAAGCAACCAGCTGAATCACTTTTACTGTCCCGAGACACACAGACTGCATCAAAAGTCTACACATCTCATCATGAAACTAAGAGCTCTGTTAGTCATGGACTTGGTGATGTTGCAATACTGAGGATTTTCCTATGATAATTAGCCCACCTGAAAATCAAAAATAAATCAAATAATATAAATGATAATGATGATGATAAATTTGTTGAAAGCGAATTCCCAGTGTTTTCCTTAAAGGCAAAATTGAGATAAAATAATAAATGGCTATATATCATCCATATGGGAATTTCAACTACTTCCTGAATTTTGCAACAGTATAAACAAGTTCTCTCTTGTGCTTCGCTCTTGTACGCTTAGGTACAAAAAACATTTTTAATATTTCTCTGTATTCTAACCTAAATTTTAGGACACGTGCATCTCCAAAGTTTAGTAAAACATGTCAGCATCAAAAACATTTCACACAAAAATCGCCTACAAACATCATCACTGTCTGCGACCTCTTCTAATACATTTAACACCAGAGGAAGTACGCCGAAAATCCGGTTAGCCTATATTTGTGATGTCAGTCAATCAAACCTGGCGAGTCAACTGACTTTAGTCGACGTCTCCTCCGCTTCGGTACCGCAATGTCGCATCAACGCCGAGTCCAAGCTCCTGGTCTGCCTCAGTCTCCGCTTGGCAATACTTTTGGGGCTTAGCGAGCATGAGAAAACAGTGCTTAACAGTCCTTGAGCGGACATATCTTCTTCACTTTGTCAGGTTGTGGAGAAAAAAGTGGAAAAACTGATTCATAATCAGGTCCAAACTAAACGAGCGAAAGAAGGACTTTTTCACAGCAGCAGCAGGTCCCCCAATGCGTCACCATGTTCAGTATTATGAATTATGAAATACGCGCCTGGAGTCCCAGGTTGCCTTCTCCACCTCCCAACACTGACTCACTGCTTCCTGCTTTCATCATTTAACATCCATTTAAAGAAGTTATGTTAATTCCCCCCCGAACACCAAAACAGCCAATACACTCAGGAGTTAGAGTAGGCTGTGACTCAGAAAGCGTGCATTTAAGTTCCTCCTGCGGCTCAGCTGAATTTTTATTTTTATTTATTTGTTCATTTTTATCGTGTACACAAGCGTAAAACACAATGCAAAAATAATAAATCACTAAAGAGACTCCTAGAAAGCTGGAACAATCATTATTGTAGAATAAAAATGAGACTGTTGGACTATTTTACACCTTATCCAAATATTGCTTGCATATTTATTACATACAGTATAAACTCATTAACTTAATTGAAAGAGTTGTTAGAAAGAAGCTTAATTTATCTTCTTTGTAAGACTCCAAATGTACAGTATATGTCTTTCTGTGATCTGGTAATATGGTGAAGTCCATTTTACACTAACTGGGCCTGTGTTGATTACACTGATGTAAAGTGAAACTGCCAGTAGATGAATTTTCTGTGGGACACATTCACACCATGAATACAAAGACCAAAGTATGCTTTTGGCTCTCTCTTGTGTTAAACCTTACATCTTAGCAACAATAAAGACAGAAATATTACACGGATCTTTTCCCACCTCATGATCCTCTCTTCCATCACCCTGAGCTCAACATAGAGCAGCTGAGATACATGGCATGCAGTGCCCTCGGAACAGGCTCTTCCTGTGGGAGCCCCGGGGAAGGGACCTGTGTGATAACATGACATGTGAACCAGCACTGTATGGGCACGATAAGGACTGATCAGATACCAGAGCCCACCAAACAGACAGGGGAAGTGGTGATAAGAGAGCGGCCCCGCGTTTGATCCACTTATTTGGTGGTGGCGTGGTTTGGTGTAAGACTCCCTGCAGATTCTCATCAGACTTCCCGTTCTGTCATTTCTCAGAGGGATAGATGCAGCTTACACTGACCTAGCCTTGTAAAGTATAAGTGTTTAGGTCACACACGCTGTGTGGACTTTTGGAATACCTGGCAAAATACAGTTTGGTTTAGGTTTTTTTTTTTACATCCATACACAGAAGAGCAAGTTATATCACTTCTTTACTTAAGTCACGTGGGTCACTGAGATTCTGTAGTACTGACTTCTCCGATTTGTGATGAAAATATGAAGAGCACAGTGCAGATTTTTTTAAACTCTAGAAACATATGTGTTGTATTTTGAGGCTTACTGGTTGTTTAAGAAAGACTTTCAATAGGAAGCATTTGAATTATGTGTACAAGAATGTGCCACATTGTATGAGTCAGCATGGCAAGAGCTGAGAGATTATATGCTTTATTTGGTTTGAACAAACAAGAACTTTACAGCAGACCACTAGATGGCATTAAATTACTCACTTTGTCAAATGAGTAAAGGCATGGTATGCAGCTCTATGGAGATTTTACTGTTTTTGGACAGACTAGCCATCTTTGCATTTAGTATCTGCAACTTATTAGCAACCTTTTAGCCACATGTGCGCATTGTATAGAATATTTATGCTGAGATGTCACATAGCCTCAGGTTAGCTGAGGGCAATTTGATTAAACACAACTGAAAATATTAATATGCAGTTAAATGAAATCTGGTCTCTTTTCAAGACAGAAATTTATCAATATAGCCGCTCCTTAGGGTCCTAAATATGCAAGAGTGTATTCTGACTTAGTGGCGGTATTCAGATGCTATAAAACACAATACATCACAATAGCAAATGAATATGCATTTAGAGGGCTAATAGATTCTGTTCAATCTAATTCTTAAGAAGCAGGGGTTCAGCGCATTTTTGGCATTTATATTTTGCACAGTTTTGCATTTTGTTAGAAAAAAGGCAAATGTGTCTCTTTTTTTGTCTGGAATTACTTTATGATATAACCATTATGGAATCAAATGCACTGCAGAATATGGCATTGCTGCAAATTCCTGCATGATAAACTCTGCACATTTGTATCTAAGAACCATACAAAAACATAAACATTGCATAATAAGTCTAATTCAGCTTACTGCAGTAACTCCTTTCTGTCACTTGTCTGTGCTGGTGGACTGTGAAGCACATGTTTAATTCAAGCACCCAATGGCATCACTGTGTTATGAACCTTTATTAATCCACATTAAAGTGACAGCCTGTCCAAAAGGGACAAACCAAAAATAGAGTGACACCTTTTGAAATGGTGCGTTTGCTCTTTCTGTTTATGGTAACTATTGTTTAGCTGTCAGTGAGCATAAACGGGGAGACAGCTT